TTGGGTTTTTTAGGATTCTTGGTCGATTTGGGGATAAATAAGAAGGAGGGGCAAAATTGAGTTTCGTTGCTGTAGCTAGCAGGTGTTAATTAAAATTTAACGACGTTTACAAATTTCTATTAGTCGAGTTAACTCCGTTAATGGTGATGTAGTAAAACTAAAACATTTTTAAAGTTTGTGTATTGAAAAACCAACGTTAAATAAATTGTGTATTAATCGGGTAACCAAAAAAATTTAGGTATTTTTTCAGCCAATATAATTAAGTTAGAGAATTTTTAAAGAATTTCCCCTTTAAAAAACCTACTTTGTAACTTATCCATATCCAGTCAATATTTATTTTGGTTGGATTGGATACTCAATATTTTTGTATTTTGTTTATTTTTAAATTTATTACGAATAGAACTAATTGTTTTTTTTTGCATATCATTCATTTTGTATCTACTTAGAAATTTTCATAAACCATATATATCTTGTTTTTTTTTTCTTTTAAAAACGCGTGGTCTTTTCTTTAAGATTGATTATCCAAATAGTTCCACAAGGGCCTTACATTTCTTTGGACCGGATTAAGACGTTCAAAGCTTCTCCCAAACATATGTGCTCAATTACAACGACAAAAAGAAGTGTGTCTCGCACGCGCGTGTGGGGAAGAAGTGAGCGAATAAAAAGTGTGAAAAGGGTTTTGTTGTACGGAAACAGAACCTTAAGAGAGAAACGTTTGGAAGCAAACCAGAAGAAAAGAAAGGAGAGAGTGATGTGTGATTCGACATTTAAATTTGATACAATTCCACGCGGTTCCTTCTTTTCATACACTGCCACGTATGTTTTATCCACAACATATGTATCCCTCGTATTCATCTTCCAGTAGATAAGCATTTATAATAATATCTGAAAATGCAGGAATTTTTGCACAAAATACTTGAACAGAAATATGAATAAGAGACAGATAGTTTCCAATAAAAAACACATAGTCTTTATTGCTTTCCCGCAAGGCACAACAGCTGATACACGACACAGCTGTTGCAACAGATAGATTACTCAAACACTTCTATAGAACA